CAGCTCCTCATTGAAGTTGACATTCAACTTCAGCAAGCGGTCCACGAATCTCTGCATTTTCTGCAAGTGAGCCGTAATGGACTCTCCATCCTTTATACTGGTAGTGATCATCGAGGCGATGATCTCATACCTCTCATGCCTGGCACTTTGATGGTACCTTTCCATCAAATCTTGGTGCATCTCGTGTGGATAGTAGTCCTCGTAGGACTTTTGGAGTTCAACAGTCATTGTTGCGAGCATGATGCAATGAACCTTCGTAGCATCTCGCTCATGAGTTTCGTACGCAGCAATTTCTTCAGGAGTAGCAGTGTTCACATTGACTTCCTTCAGCTCCCTGTCGAGAACATACTCTTTGTCCTCGTAGCGGGTGACCATGCGTATGTTTCGGATCCAATCATTGAAATTGGTTCCATCGAATATCACCCTCCCACACAAGTTCATGAGTGAGAATGAGCCAAAATCATTGTTGTTTTGAGTAGACATCTGAAATAGAAAAGGAACAAAGTTTAGATTAGATTACAATCCCCAATTAGACACCCAAATGAGAAATTAGGGCTAGGACCCAACATGATTATTTACAATTCAGAAGAGGGATGTCGTAATCTAATTGCAAATAATATGAAGGTAGGTAAATGACGATTTACCGATTTCCACCATGAAAACGAAAAGGATTTAAGTTTTAAATGAATTGAAATTCCTAGATTCTTTTGAGATTCATTGAACTTTTCAATGGCATGTTTAAATCTTGATTATGCCCTTCAAGTTTGTGACTGGGATACCGAGGATCACAAATAATGTGTGAATAACCATGCAAATGTACTTGGTACTCTCGATGTCATTTACCACCTAATTGATGTGTCGGTTAGCCACACACACTCCATCAATCTATGATAAACATCGAGTCACCCTTTGCCACCTTTGCTAGTCCCAAATTAGTGTGCCGGTTAACCACGCACGCTCCACTAACGACTTGGCAAGGTGAAAAGTGTAATTTCATGGAATAGCATATAATTTCACATTTTTCCTAAAGTAACTAAGATTGGGAATTTATAAAAACATTTAGTTACTTTATATAATCATTATACTTATTAATGAGGAATTGGTTGCCCTATCCTACCCATTCGGCTAACGACCCTCCACCAATCAAGGAAGCGGTGAGTGAGAATGGACACCCATTAAACTGTCATTTTATAGGCAGCAGCCTTATACCCCTTTATAGATCGGCTTCGTGAATGAGGCCTACTAACGGTAAGACTAGCTTTAATTTATATATATATATATATATATATATATATATATATATATATATATATAATAATTAATCTTATACTATTATAATAGTATAAGGGTTGAATTTTTACTTTTAAAACTCTAGGGTTTAGAATTTAAATATTTCAAAATTAAAACTATTAATCAAAAATTTTAAATTCCAAAACTTGATGACAAGTTTTGAAACTTTTCAAAACATCTTTTAGATCAAATTTGAAAAATAATTAATTAATCATATTATTAATCTTTATCACATAATTGACCTAATCTATTTTTTTGACAAGATAATTCAGATTTAAAATAAAAATAATTAATCTTTATCATATAAAATAAGTAATTATCTTATTTATGACAATTATCTTTAAATTTCATTAGGATAATCAATACCTTATTGAAAAAATCGGATTTTATTAGTCAAAAACGTTTTTGGTAATTATCCTAATTCAATTTCAGTCAAAATCCCGAAAAATCAGCCAACAGACGACCCGACTCGCCGAGTCACTGTTTGGACTCGTCGAGTTGCCCTGACTCGTCGAGTTCATCAGGTGACTCGACGAGTTCATCAGTCAGAGGCAAGATTTTTCGAATTTTCAGCTTTGAACAATTTTGATATGCATCAAATACAAAAGAAAAACGACCTAGGCTCTGATACCACTGTTGGGTTATGAGCATTACATCAATCCTATGGTGCACATGCAAAACCTAATGCTCGGATCTAGTTTTTCTAAGTGTACATGCAACAATTGTCCAAGACTTGCAAACCCTAATCTAGCATACAATAAAAATCGAAATCTACATCTAATGAAGAGTTAAGATATTACCTTTTATTGTAGCTTGATGATCTTGAGCTTTTGAGAACTTTAGCACCTCAAGTGTGATGCCTCTAGTAGATCACAAACACCAAAGCAATTGGAGAATGCAAGAGAAAGAGGGAGGAGGCTAAAATCGGCTATGGATTCCTTCTAGGGTTTCTAGTATCCGACTTTAGGTGCCCAAGGGTTCCTTATATAGGTGAGGAATTAGGGTTTCAGTCAAAGACCTAATCTGGTTGCTTAAGCTCTAAGCAGCCCACTAGATCCTTCCAGAACCTAGCCCTTGGACGAAATTCTTATGGGCTTCCATAAGATTTCGTCCACCCTATCTTTAGGGTTCCTCAGCCCACTCTGCAATTATCCAATAATTACAATAACAGCCCCCTTAATTCAATTAACCTCTTTTGACCACAAAATTAATTTTTGACCAATGTTAATTAAATAATATGATTTCTCTTTTAATATATTATTCATATAATATATTAATGAATCACTTTTATCCTATTTCTCAATTATTCTTCCAATCAAGTTGTTTTGGTGAAGGCAACCCAAAAGGACAATGCTACAACCGGGTCAAGTACATACCAAATATAGTTATGACTTAGACACCTAATCCAACAATGGGCCCCTTGATGATTTGGTATTGACATTAAATGCTTGGCCAAGATCTAACTGAGTTGATTAAATCAATTGTACAGTCTAATGTGGTCATCACAAATCTCTATCGAGAAACATAACCTTGAACACTAAGATTGAATTGCTCCCATGGCTCGTGTTCATATAGATATCTTGTAGAACAAAGGAATATTTGATCACTAATCTAAGGGTTGTTTCATAGCTAGTTCGTATAAGTATAACGGTTGTATTGGATAGCAGACTTTCTATCTATTATTAGGAAATATTAGACCATACATTGTTTGGGACTTGTGCAAGTGGGAGATTGTTGGAAATAGTGTCCACAGTCACAACAGTTTGGTAATATTATTATTAATAGTAAAGTCATTTTGGGTTACACGCAATGACATATTTAAGCAATAATTGACAAAAAAGAATAAATATGATCTAGTTTGATAATTTATTAGTGATTAAATAATTAATAGAAACCTGTAGATCTTAAAGGGTTTAAAGTGTAAGATTTGAGATTCAAATCTTAGGGATAATTACTTAATGACCTAGTAATTATCCAATAAGAACTCTTAACCATACCCTATAAATAAAGGACCATAAAAAAGATTTGTGATTAATTTCATTCTACCATTCGGTTTTAGCCTCACCCAATCTCTCATAATCCCGTTCTTCCAAAGAACTCGATGAGTCCTTGAGCATGCGACGCATCTGCCGATCGGCAACCTATTTAATTAGCATTTTGGTGATCAAGTGTTTTCACCAACAAGGGGTTGGTCAAGTGTTTGTTGTGTTGTTTCTTGGGTATGACTACAAGAGATGAATCTTAGTTTGGATTCTATACATCCATATAAGTGGCTAGAACTACAAAAACAATGTTGCAAGGGTATGTTTTCGGTTTTTCCCACTTTGTTAATTTTGTTGCATTAGATTTTATGAACCTGTGATCCTCTTGTGGGATATGTGTTTTTGTGTTTGCTTCGTTGTCTTTGTGGCTCTTTGATTGTATGTGCATATTCCATCATATATCTTACTTTCTTACCTAGGAAATCGAAAATATAGTAGAAAAACAGAGGCATTACCATATGTGTTCCCAACCTCAATGTACTAACTTAGAGGTCGTAAACTTCGCATTAGTTTGCCTTAATGTCAGAGCTCGTAAAAACATAGGAAAGCTTAAATGCTAACTTGCTGGAAAACAAAGACGTCGAAACGGTAACTAGGGTTCTAATATGAAGAAGAAAAGAATGTGGATGAAATTTTGAGTGACAATGATCAATTCAAAGTCATATGGGAGTGATGGTTTCGTAATAGCGTTGATAGAATATGAGAGAGATGAAAGGTGAAAAATACATACTTACCCTCATGTGAAGGCACGTGTTTAACCAAAGAGATGGTTTTTAACGTGAGTTATAGGCATGGATCAAATCCATAAATAAACCTATAGTGTTTGTCTTTAAAATTTATAATTTACATCAATAACAAAAGTAAATACATCGTTATTGGCATAGGGAGATCTCACATTCAAACCTAGGGGGTTTCAATGGCCGAAAAAGGGTGGTCAAAGCAGTTTCTAAAAGAGTTGTTTAGTAGTATTGCCAAAAACAAGCATTCTCCCCTAAACTTTGTAAATATGGGAGAGTCGCAATAACAGGGGCGGACCTAGTAGGTGTCCTGGTATGGCATCGGTCACCTACTTTTTCTGTTCGCAGTGGAAAAAATTTTGATTTTTCGATTTTTGTACCTATTTTTCTATATCGGCAACACCTATTTCAACATCGACAACACCTAATATATATTCCTGCCCGCCCCTACGCAATAGAAGGAACATTTATAAAAAATATTACTTTACAATAAAAATATAATGACATTGGCTACTTACGAAAGCAAAGAAAGGAACATTTGAATATTAATATTACAAGGAAGATTCAAGTCTTTCAAAAGACTCCTGCCGATCAAAGGTCAATAATGGTAGTTAAACATTAACGGGTATGGTGGTTTCTGGTCTCCCGTTCTTATCTCAAAAATATTACTGTTATCAAACTGTTTTTCACGCAGACGTCAATTTTGAATAAATTTTACATTTATAGAAACGTTAGATTTATCAACTCACCTCTCGAATTAAATGCCACCATGAAACTGGTGAAAATTTTTAATCGATTTCACCTTTTTTCGCGGGAAACCTTTCAAGTCCGCCGACGCTTTCTTCAATTCTGTCCCCTCCATACGCCTATCGTTTTCAAGCTCTTTGTATTTTAATCAGAAACCCCATTTGAATTGACCAATTTTTGGTTAAATTAATATATAGAAATAGAAACGTAATCGAGATAAATCGGATTTTAAATAATTTCTTTGATAGTTGGAGTAGGTGGGTTCGATTCGTTTTGGGGCAACTTCATCAAATTTCGATTAAAGATGGAGTTGCATCACAAATCGTTCATTGTTTTAGGTAATTAGTTTACTATTTCTTTTTCTTTTTTGTTTTTTCTTTTTGTTTGTTTCCCAATTCCACATTCTTTAATTTAATTTCTCCTTTTGTGGGTAGGTTTTTTCTTTGATTTTTAAATTTTTTACAGGTGGGGCTTCCTTGAGAATATTATATCTCTTGGAATTTAGCGAAAAACCCACGGATTTTGAGATCTTTATAGTTCGAATTTCGCAGATAAGTTCCATTCTAGTGGGAGACTGCATTTCTTCTTCTTCTTCTTTTAGTACATGGCTCTGCAAATTTAGGATCAAATTAGAAAATGTTTGAGGAAGAATTTGCAGGGTGTTGATTGAGAAAAATAAATAAGGGAAAATTGATCATCATAAAAAATGACATTTGAGGCTGTAGATCATAATCATAATCATCAAGGTGTTGAAACGAAGAATGTTTTGGTGGGAATTCGATTTGATGAATGTGGTAGAGAGCTTCTTGATTGGGCTATGGTGAAAGTTGCAGATGCAGGTGATCGTGTAATCGCCATTAACGTTTGTCATAATTCAGGTAACTTTTTCTTTTTCCTTTTTTTTATTTTCTTGAATATGATGTGGTTCTTGTTAAAGGATTTATTTTTTTAATATTCAAATTACTTCAATGTTTTACAGACTCTGTATCAAAGTACAAGAGTTTGTTGGATGATTATCTGGCCGATTATGAAGGCCTTTGTGACCAAAAACAGGTATTGTTTTTCAACATGCTAAACTTATTACAATGGTCTCAAGTAGACCAAGGCGCCCTGGTGCAGTGCACCAAGACGCCATCATGTGCATCAAAGCATCAACATCTGGTTGTTGTTTGATACACAACAAGATTAGAATTTCGAATTTCGAACATGTTTTTTTTTTTTTTTCAGATTGACCTTACGGGTCAAGTAGTGAGAGGGAATTCAATACGGAAAGTTTTGGTTAAAGAAGCAAAGTTTTATTCTGCAGCCGCTGTTATTGTTGGGGTTAGCAAGGTCAAGGCTTTCGGGTAAGTGGATGTTTTTAAACAAAATCATTTTTCTGTTCCAAGAAAATGAATCTTTTCGTATGAAAATTTTAATTTAAAGTATCTAACACATGGTATACTTTGGAGATTGTGCCTATTCAAAAAAAAAGTTGTTCCTTTTTTGCCTATCAATGTTATAAAGGACTTTAATACTCTTGAAAATTTTGTAAAAAGTGGAGTTACTAAAACCTTATTTCCCTCTTTTTTGTACATTAAGTTAAAAATATATATATTCATATATGGTTTACGACATTAAATTATGTTTGCTATTAAGTTTATCAAGTAAAAAAAAACATCATTTAATACTTTTACTTATGTTATTTGAAGGTGTTGGCTTTCAATTGCTAAATATTGTGCAAAGAAACTACCTTTAGCAACTGAAGTTTTGGCTCTCCATAATGGGAAAGTTGTTTTCAAGAGGTTTTCCAATGGCCAACTTTCAGGTATTTTCATTTGGTATATCGCTTACATAACATAAAATCTGGTCATGTTAGGCCATAGGCATGACATGATCAGGTTTATGTTACAATCTGATGATCCTAATTTACGCAAGTTTAATTTTTAAAAAACGTGTCTTCTTTTTTTTGTTTATGATCTTATACTAAAGTTTTTTGACATTTTTACCAATCACAAATGGGATCAAATCAAGAATTTCCAAAAAAAAGAAGGCAAATAAATGAATAATGATAGAGAAATCTACATGAGGCATGAGTTTTTACTTTATGACAAAAACTACATACATAAAAGCAAGAAATAGCAATGTATTTTTATTGATTTGTTTATTATAACATCTTACTTTTGTTTCGTGTTATAGCAATATAAACCAAATAAGCAAACACAAAGCAATTTAGTTGCTATAATTGCTATTTTTCAAAGTTTAATGTTCTAAAATGCTTTAATTTGGTAGATTTTTCCATTCATCTTTTTTTCTCCAACGAACATTTACATAACCTTTACTGAGACGCATCTTTAATGACCATACTCGTGTTACTATCATGTGATATGTTAGGATTATTATATCAATGTTATCGTATCTCAAGACTATAACACATCAAACATTAAATACCAAATCTCAATATCTACCTCCTTTTAATTATATATTAATTATTTTCTAAAAAGGGTCAATGCGAGATCCGAGGCCAAGTTTCTACTTAATCGGCAACTCCAATTTGAAAGACACCCAGTCGGAGTTTTGCTACTCCGAGGCCTCAGAAATGGGGAGACACAGTTCCGAAGAGATCAAAAGCCTAAAAGATGAAGAATTAGACCCTTTCGAACTGCGGAAGAAAGCTCTGAGCTCTGTTTCTGTTGTGATCGAGGATTTTGCCCATCAAAGACCTGGATGGCCTCTTCTCCGAGCAAACACCGTGTTAACGCCGTCGGCAATGGAGGCTAGAAAAATGTCGGTGGTGAAGTGGGTGATGAACTTGCCGAACAGGTCGACGCCGGGGACTCCAAGAACGCCGTCGTCGAATAGTGAAATTAGCCCTAAAAGCATGGCGTCGGATTCTAGGTCGGAATCTAGTTTGTTCACAAACACGAGCAACGAGAGTGGAACTCCGATCGATAAAAGCCATGAGTTGCCGGAAATTTTGAATCTTTTACTCAAAACTAATCCGTCTCGATGTCAATGGTTTGGGTTTGATCTACTTAGAGCCTCAACATCTAACTTTGCGTCAGGTAATTTTACTGATTTTGAGTGTAGATTTTTAAGAAAATTAGCAAAACTGATTGAAAATCGTCTTTTTAATTACAGAGAATTTGATCGGGAAAGGTGGTTGTCATCGTGTATATAAAGGGATGTTTCCTGATGGAAAAATGGTGGCTGTGAAGATCAGAAGGTCATCAAGAGAAGCATGGAAAGATTATATTCTGGAAATCGACATTATGACTTCGCTAAATCATGAAAACATCACACCTCTTTTAGGGGTATGCGTGGAAGAAGATAACTTGATTTCTGTTTATGATCTCGTGCTTAGAGGAAATTTAGAGGACAATATACATGGTAAGTTTCTTTCAGAAAAGAAATTTGATACGTAAAAATTTTAAATTTACTACAATTTTCTTTTTAGGGGTGAAAAAAGGTACATAAAATTACCTGTACTTGTCCAGTTGTCCAGTTGTCCTTCAAACCATTGATTTATGGTTTTAGCCTAAAAGTACATATGAACTATTATTTTTTATTGATTTGTCCATTAAAATATTATTTTTATCATTTTAGCTATTAAACTATTATTATAATATATTAATGAACAATTAATGGTTTTATGGCTAAATCCATAAAATGGTGACAGTAAGTTGCGATTTTTATATACTTTAACCATTTTTAAAACTGGATAACCAGGAAACTTGTTGCTTTTTAAACCGTAAAAAACATGATGATTTAAAAATAAATAAATAAATAAAAACATGCTGATTTAATTGCTAAAGAAAATAGCTAGAGGCTATTTGATAATAAATGGTGAAAATTCGTTGTACTTTTTTTTTCGTATACGACCATATTAACTACAATAATCAAATTTGTCCTCGATCATTGCTCTTGTTCTTGGTAAAATTTCATCTAATTGATTAAAAAAAATAACGATTTTGCTCTTTTATTTCTGTATCTAGGTGCCACGAAGGACAAATCGATTTTATCATGGGAAATAAGATTGAATATAGCCATTAAAGTTGCTGAAGCTTTAAACTATTTGCATAAAGAATGTCCTCGGCCTGTCATTCATCGTGACATCAAGTCTTCCAACATTCTTCTCTCAGAAGAATTTGAGCCTCAGGTTTGTACCATACCATCTAGCATAGGTGCACAAATGGATTGGGTTGGGCTCGGCCAGGCCCAATCCCAGGTGCACACCACACACTGTGCAGTGTGCCTGTATCTAGTAACTTTTTTTGGGAATCTAGCGTGATTCGGTTTGTTGAATCTTGTTTGCAGTTATCGGATTTTGGGCTTGCGATATGGGGACCCACGAGTTTACCATTCCTGAGTCATAGTGATGTAGTTGGAACATTTGGGTATCTTGCTCCCGAGTACTTTATGTATGGGAAAGTTAGTGAAAAAATTGATGTTTACTCTTTCGGTGTTGTTCTCTTGGAGCTTTTGACCAGAAAAAGACCGATCAGTTCGGATCCCGTTAAAGGCGAAGATAGTTTGGTCATGTGGGTAAGAATCTTTCTTGAAACCTTGTAAATATGCCATTTGTCGATGAGGGTATTTACGTCTTTTGCACATACAAGAGATTGTGAGTGAGTCCCTCTCCTACCTTTTTTCAAAAACGTTGGAATTTTTGTTCCAATGCATGCCAAACCGAGTATAACTTGTCGAGGGTAACAAATGGGGTCTTAGGCTAATTGTTTTTTGGGGTTTTTCTAATTATATTATGTATATAATGTAGGCAAAACCGAAGCTAGAAAAGGGTGATCTTGCAAGCATATTAGATGTCGATTTGGACAAAGAAGTCAATAAAAATCAAATAGTTCGAATGGCTCTAGCTGCAACACTTTGTCTCACAAGATCAGCTAGAAGGCGTCCCACAATGAACGAGGTTTGAGAAAACATCTATTCATGCTTATAATATCCACTACCTTGCATTTGTTACACTATACACGACTTGACAAACTTTCTAGGGCTATTTTCATTTGTTACACCTTGTCTTTTTAGAAGGAAAAGTCGTAAACTCTATTTTTTGTAGGAAATTTTATGACATTTTCTGTTTTGTTTGTCTTTAGGTCTTAAACATTTTAAGAGGGGAGCATGATTTGGACAAGAAGTCAACTCAAAATGATTTGGAATTGTTGTGTACTAATGAAGATCATGACGATGATGATGATGATGATGAAGTTTATCCGGAATCAAATGCGGAGTCTCATTTGAGTCTTGCATTTCTTGATGTTGATGATAAGTCAACATCGTTTGGTAGTGTGGATGTAAATCAACACACACGGCATACATTAGAAGGATACTTGAGGGGAAGGTGGAGCCCGTCTTCGAGCATGGATTAGGTTTGTTTTTGTGTGGTGTGGGGAAAATTCTTCGGGTTTTTTTGTGAAGAATGTAGATAGTTTTGTATAGCTTGAGAATGTATACGAAGGGGAAAAAAGAATGTGCACCCGATGATGAGGTGTTGTGTGTTTTTACGAATCGAGATGTAAACGTGAGATTTTCTAGTGAATTGAGAATGCGTGGTTTTCATTCAAATTTGTCTCGATAGTGTTTGTCACACAGGACAAAAGTCACACAATATATATTACATTTAACATGCATTATATTAGCACCATCATTCGGAACAAAAAAAATGTAATTATATTTTCAAACGAGGTGGAAGATGACTTGTTCTTAGTCTTTCGTCTATAAAATAACATGACTTCTTTCTCGTCTTTATAATTAAAAATAGATCTAGAAACTAAAATGTCTATTGCAGTCTGGTTACGTCTCTTGTCTTAAGTAACGAAATTTTCATTGGGCCATATTTTTATATTATATATCCTTATTCATTGTAAAATATATTTTTATATTAGAAGTTACCAAAAAGTAGAAATTTTGTTATAAAAAACATACGCAAGACAAAATACCAAATGTTAATGGATATGTTGAATGATAACTGATAAAGAACAGAAATTAGGGTTTGATGAAATAAGATCAAACAGAGAACGATTGAAAAGAAAGAAGATGATGAAATAGACTAATTGATTAAACGATCAACACAATCTAAAAAGATTGCCCAGGGAATCTCCCTCTCTCTAAGCCAAAGCTTAAGAGCCAATACAAAGTATTACACTATCAATTTTCCAGACATCCCTCTACTGTGACCTTTCTCTCTATTTATTATAATCCTAACCCACCTAGGAGAATTTCCTGTTTTGCCCTTTACTGGGCCTTCTAGACAAAACGTATAAAATTTTTGCTTAAATGGTATTTGGGTCCAGCAATACTCATTTCCTATCAATAACGGGTTAATGACTTGGTATGTAACTAATGGTTCTTCATTCACATATTTGATCGGTTTCTTTTTCTTTGTACACCATATACCACCAACTGAATTTGTTTATTTTTATATCAGAATTCCTTGTTTATTTGGCTACGTCGTATTGTCGGTTACATCTCTTATTTGGAAATTGAGATGATTAGATGGATGTAAATATTATGTGTAAGGCTGTAAGTGAACCAAAATAACATGGAAAAAAGTTTGATCATGTTCGTTCATTTAAGTTTAATCGATTAAACAAACAGACACAAACATATAAATAACTAATTTTCGTATTCATGTTTGGTCTTTTTACAAATCAATTTATGTGTGTTTATTCTTTTATGTCCATTAGGATGCTAAATGAACACAAAAACATTAACGAACATAGATGAACATAAACATACAAATCAATATTCTTACACTTATGTTAAAGGTGCTTCAAAATTGTAATTATGCATGACAATTTGTTGTTCTCAAACATGCAACCTTAAGTAGGGTTGCATAAGATTATGATGCATAAACATAGTACTTCTTTTTATGAAGCTCTTTTCTTATTGTCGTTGTATGATTTTAATTTTATGTAAGGGAGAAAATACCATGGCTCTCAAGTTAACTATAGGGATTTAAGAGTATAATTAGGACTTTTTATAAGCCTATTATATAGAGTCATCTAGATGTTATATTTTATTCATTCCTTCAGCCATGTACAGTGAGCCATGTACAGTGGCGGAGGCAATGTATAATGAGGGGGGTCAGTGTACGATTAGGGGGTCCATACATCCCACTTGAAAGTGGATCCCAGCATATATGCATAGCACATATACATACATTATTTATTTTTTATTTTTTTCAATTAGAAAGTTCTTCATTTGGCACCCACTAATCATGCTTTCTTAGCTCTTTTCTTTCTTTTTCTACCCAAATTCACCTTTCTTTTTTTGCCATGCACAGCAACACTTTAATGGGTTAATTTAATTTTAGTTTTTTTAATTTTGATTATATTAATTAATAGGTCTGGATCCGCCACTGGCCATGTAACCATTTTTTATATAATCGAGTTACATTACTATACAAAGTTGTGCCATATGATTTTTTTCACATGGGTTTCCACCTATATTTTTGTTTTTGGTGCTCTTTTATTTTGCTTCTTTTGATCATCATATTCTTTTATTTTGCTTCTTGTTGTCATCATATTTATGTAAGGTTCAAAAATATCATATACAATGGAGTTAATTGTTTGGCTCTCGATTTAGCTAAGGGATGTTTCCAGTTTGTTAGGGGTTCTAAAGTGTCATTAGGACTCTTTGTATGACTATTATATAAAGACATCTAGATGTCATATTTTACTCATTCCTTCATCTATATTATTTTTCCTTCTCCTTGGAAATTTTATGTAACATTTTTCTTTATAGTTGAGTTACATTAATATACAAAGTTGTGCCTTGTATTTTTTTTACACAGTTTTCACCTATATTTGTGTTCTTGTTATTATTTTATTTTGCTTCTTGTGATTAGGGTTGTAAACGAATTAACGTTCAGCTTACCATTCAGTCGAAAGTTCGTTTAAATTTATTTACTTAATAAATTAACGAACATGAATAAGATTTTCCGTTCGTTTAGTTAAATTAACAAACGTGGACAACGATGTCATTCATTCATTTATGTTCATAAACATCTATTCATATTCGCTCATTTACATTTGTTATATTTAGTCATTTATATTCATACATTTCCGTTCATTTAGACTACTCGCATCATCAACTAAACTTAACATAACTATCTATTAAAAAACTAATTTATTTTTTTTCCACCTATACAATCCAACCAAACCCGTTTTCTATACCCATTAACCACCCAACCAAACACGCTGATGATGTGTTGTGTATTTTAACAAATCAAAATGTGCACCCATTGTTGCCATTCCTAGTGACCTCTAAGTTGGTCAACATTCAAAGTGTTTTTTGATACAATGAACGTTCGGCTCTAGACAATTAAAGAACCCAACCATCTTCCGCGTTAAATGGTTCAGTTTTTTTTAACTTTCATATCTTATCATTGAAAACAGATCTAAAAACTATAAAGTTTGCTTATTAGAATCTAGTATGCCTCATCTGGTCTTGTCTCAAGTAACCAAATATTTATTTGGTTATACTTTTTATACTACAAATCTTAACTATCTGTAAAACATATTTTATAAAATAAAAATCAGCCTTTGGTTATTGTGTAGTTGCTGCAACTCAATTAACTAATAAACAACACAATTCTAGGCATACATACAATACAACATCAACATTCATGTTTCTTGAAATCCACTGATAATTTTCATTTTCAAGCATATAAATAGCAACTTAAAATTTGAATTTAAATGCCATCATCTTCATGATAAATACTTTCAGCCATTTGCCAAACCTGCAACGCATTGTCTTCAGCCACACTAGAAATCACCCATGGCTCGTTTTTGTTCCATGAAAAGTCTGATATTTTTGCCTTGTGTCCACCATGTGAGAACAAAAGCTCTGGTGGACCATCTTCAGTTTCACCTTCCAGCTGTTCATCTCCAATCCTGAAATAAGTTTGAACAATCACCCAAATTCAGAAGATGTGTTTGGAAGGATAAGGGCATTCAGGTCTTTTGACACAAGTCTCAGTTTAAGTACCTGTTTAGGTCCCACACCATCAGCCTTCTGTCATCAGCAGAAGATGCAATCACAGTTTCATGGTTTGGGTCCCACTCAACTTGGAATACCTCCTCCCTGTATATTAAATTTTTATGTAAAATAAAATATTATATAAAAAACATAAAAGCAAAATTAAGAAGCATACGTATGACTACTCAAAACATGAAGAGGCGATGTTAGTTTCCTCATGTCAAAAAGCCCAACTGTTGTATCTGAAGATGCTGTAGCCAAAACCCACTCATTGAAAGGATTAAAAGATAAATAATTCACCTGGAAATTATTATAAATGTCATTAGAAAACTGAAAAAGAAAAGCTATTAATATTAAAAAAAAAAAAAAAAAAGTAAAGTTTTACCTCTTTCTCATGAACTACAACAGATTGTTCATGTTTATTTGTGCGTAAATCCCAAATCATTAGCTTACAATCATCCCCAACAGAACCAAATAAGCTTTCATTCTTCAAATGCCATGATACATCTTCAACTAAACTCCCATGATCCTGCATTAACATTTATCATTTAATTTCAACTGCAAGAATTATTAACACTCACTAATAAACCATAAATGATAAAACCTAAGTAATGAAAGATACAAAAAGTACCTCGTAAATGTATTTGGCATCAAGAACTTTATTTGAAGGCATTGCAGACACATCCCATAAACATATTTTACAATCATTAGAACCACTCAAGAGATACCCTTCTTTAAAAGAGCTCCATGAAAGCCCATAGCCTTCTTTTTCATGACCCCTTAACTTTGCATCAGGTTCACAAGAGCCCCCTTCATCATTTAAAAGTTGTTTTGTGGAATCAAATACATAGACTTCAGAAGAACTTGTCTTTGCTGCAATAATTGATGGGTTTTGTGGCATACATCTTGCCCGATTTACCTCTCCATCAACATGAATCTTCTGAATTATCTCTACCTATAAGCATTAGGTAAAAAAAATTAGGCTAAAGGCAAGAATCAGCAATGTAACTTTGTTGATTTGTAGTATGATGTCATAATAAATAAATGAATACATAGTAAGTTGCTGTTTCTTGCATTTAGCCCTAAAATGTAATCCTAGATATCAATGGATGCAAGTGCTCTCATAAAATTGACACATACGTCGGATCCAAATTTCATTTGCAAGATTTTTATTATTTTGTATTGAGAGTTTCTTATATTAGAATGGGTTACAATTTTTGAGGTGCCACCCTGCATCATATCTACTACAAATCTTCGGATCCCCAAAACGTTTGTAAGATTAGTACTTTTCTAAAATTGAAGTGTGGGAATCCAACAATTTACTTATCTAGACAATTCAATAATAGAAATTTCGTTGTGGAACATAGATTATTGTACCGATTCGAGTAAAGAAATAGCATAAGAACAAGCGACCGACTGACCTTAGGGATATGAGGGTTTTCGTGATTGGTGTCGAGAGAAGATGATGGATTAACCGGCAAGAGGACATCTGCGACGAGAAGGAAGTTAGGACTTTCATCGGAGGTATGCGTCCCGAGAATCAGCTTGTGAGTGGCGAAAGAGCCGTCTTTGTACGGAGACGG